CAGTTAGAGCGTCTGCCCCCTGGTGGTCAGTGCATGTCATAACGAGCGGTTGAGTGGCCTTAGCATATCATTAGCATATTGCACTTTGATTGGTTGAATGGATGACTGCACGACTGGACACTTAGCGCATTAGGCTTTTATTATATAGGTTTATTTTCACTGTCCTAAAAATCCTCTGTCCCCACCACTGTCATCCTCTATCACCTTACAACTGCTGTCTCCATAGTTTTGCCTTTTCCAGAAAGTCACAGAAGTGGAATCACATGTCTGTAGACTCTGAATTGGCTTTTTCCACTTAAGAATATTCATTTAATGTTCCTCCATATCTTTATAGCTCTTTTATTTTTAGCACTGAATAATATTCCATTGTCTGGACATACCATGGTTAATTAATCCATTCAACTACAGAAGGACATCTTGGTTGCCCAAATTTGGATAATTATGAACAAAGCTGCTCTAAACATCTGTGCAAATTTTTGTGTGGACATAAATTTTCAATTTCTTTGGGTAAATATCAAGAAGTGCTATTGCTGCATAGTATGGTAAGATTATGTTTAATTTTGTAAGAAATCACTAAACTGTCTTCTGAAGTCATTTTGCATTCCAACCAGCAAGGAGTGAAAGTTTCTTTTGCTTCACATTTTTGGCAGTATTCAGTGTTGTCATTGTTTTTTATTTTGGCCATTCTAATGGGTGTGTAGTGGTATCTTATTGTTACTTTAATTTGCATTCCATTGATGACATATGATGTGGAGTATCTTTTTATATTCTTATTTGCCATACGTCTATCATCTTTGGTGAGATGTCTGTTCCTTGGTCCATTTTTTAGTCTGGTTGCTTGTTTACCTATTATTGAGCTTTAAGAGTTTTTTTGTATATTTTGGATAACAGTTCTTTATTACATATGTCTTTTACAAATAGTTTAACACAGTCTGTGGCTTATCTTTTCATTCTCTTGGTAATATCTTTCTCAGAGCAGAAGTTTTAAATTTTAATAAAGTCCAACTTATCAATTATTTTCTTTCATGTATTGTGCCTTTGGTTTTGTACCTAAAGTCATCATCAAACCCAAGGTCATCTAGATTTTCTTGTACACTATCTTCTAGAAGTTTTATAGTTTTTTTTACACTTAGATCTGTAGCCCATTTTGAGATAATTTATGTGAAAGGTGTAAGATTTGTGTCTAGATTCCCCCCCCCCCACATTGACATCAAGTTATCCCAGCAGCATTTGTTGAAAAGATTATCTTTGCTCCATTGTATTGCCTTTGCTCCTTTGTCAAAGATCAGTTGACTATATTTATTTGGGTCTATCTCTGGGCTCTCTGTTCTGTTCCATTGATGTATTTGTCTATTTTTCAACAATACTACACAGTCTTGATTATCATATCATAGCTTTATAGGAAGTCTTGAAGTTGGATAGTGTCAGTCCTCCAACTTTGTTCTTCTCCTTCAATATTGTGTTGGCTTTCCATAAAAACTTTAAAATAAATTTGTCAATATTCACAAAATAACTTCTGGACTTTTAATTGGGATTACATTAAGTTTATAGATCAAGTTTGGAAGAACTGTCATCTTGACAATATTGAGTCCTCCAATCTATAAAATCGAATAGCTCTCCATTTACTTAGTTTTTTATTCAATTTCTTTCATCAGAGTGTTTAGTTTTCCTCATACAGATATTATACAGATTTTGTTAGATTTATACTTAAGTCTTTCATTTTGGAGTGTGATGATGTAAAATGTATTGTGTTTTTAATTTCAAACTCCACTTGTTCATTGTTGGTATATAGGAAAACAATAATCTTTTGTATATTAACCTTATATCCTGAAATCTTGCTATAATCACTTATTAGTTCCAGGAGTTTTTGTTGTTGTTGTTGTTATTGATTCTTTTGGCTTTTCTATATAGGCAATTATATTATTTGAAATTTCATTCACAATCTGTTTATCTTTTCTTTTCATGTTTTACTGCAGTAGCTAAGACTTCCACTGTGAGATAGATAAGGAGTGGTGGGGATGACATCCGTACCTTCTTCCTGATCTTAGTTAAGAAAGCTTCTAGTTTTTCATCATTAACCACAATGTTGGTTGTAGGTATTTTATAGATGTCCTTTGTCTAATTGAGGACGTTTTCCTCTATTTTTATTCATAGTTTACTGAGAGTTTTTAAAATCACAAATGGGTATTAGATTTTGTCAACTTTTCTGCATCTATTGATATGATCATGTGATTTTTTAACCTGTTGTGATGGATTACATTAATTGATTTTCAAATGTTGAACCAGACTTGCATACCCAGGATAAATTCCACTTAGTAATGGGGTAGAATTATTTTTATGCATTGTTGAATTTATTGAGGATTTTTGCATCTATGTTCATGAGATGTATTAGATTTCTTTTCTTGTATTGTCTTTGTCTAGTTGTAGTATTAGGGTGATGTGGCCATCATAGGATGAGTGAGGAAGTATTACCGCTGTTCTATCTTTAAAAAGAGACTGTAGATAATTCATATAATTTCTTCCTTAAATATTTGGTAGATTTCACCAATGAACTCGTCTGGGTCTGGTGCTTTCCCTTTTGGAAGGTTATTTATTATTGATCGATTTCTTTAATAGCTATAGAATAGATATAGGCCTGTTCAAATTGTTTACTTCTTCTTGTGTAAGTTTTGGAATATGATGTCTTTCAGGAAATCGATCATTTCATCTAGGTTACTGAATTTTTGGGCATAGAATTGTTTCTGTATTTCTATGCCTTTAATGTCCATAGAATCTGCAGTGATGGCCCTTTTTCATTTCTGATATTAGTAATTTGTGTCCTCTGTATATTTTTTCTTAGTTAGCTTAGCTAGAGTCTTATCAATATTATTGATTTTTGTTATTAACCCATTTTAGTTTTCTCTATTGATTTCTTGTTTTTCAATTTCATTGATTTCTGCTCTAGTTTTCATTATTTCTTTTTTTCTGCCTACTTTGGTTTAATCAGCTCTTTTTTTAGTTTCTTAAGCTTTATTGATTTTAGATCTTTCTTCTTTTCTATTATATGCATTCAATTGTATAAATTTACCTCTAAGGACTACTTTTGACACATGCTATAAATTTTGATAAATGGTGTTTCTAATTTTAGTTCAAAATATTCTTAAAATTTCTATTGAGGTTTTTTCTTGACCCATTTTTTATTTAGAAGTATGTTATTTAATCACTATGTATTTTGGGTACTTCCAGTAGTTTCTTTGTTATTGATTTCTCCTTTAATTTCATTGTGGTCTGACAGCAACATTGTATGACTTCTATTCTTTTAAATTCATTGAAGTTTGTTTTATGGCCCATAACTTCGTTTATCTTGGTGAGCATTCATAATGTTTTAAAGTATATCTCTTTTTATAGAACACTTCACTCCATAACAGCAGAATACACTTTCTCCCTCCCCACAAGGACCCACAGAACATTTACTAAAATAGACCATGTAGTTGGCCATAAAATAGACATCAATTTTTTTAAAAAAATTGAAATCATACAGGGTTTGTCTCTGAGCACAACTATCAAACTAGAAATCAAGAACAGAAATAAGTCTTTAAACACTTGAAAATTATACCACACTTCTAAATAATCTATGGATCAAAGATAAAGTTTCAAAGAAAAATTTAAAAATATACATAAACTGAATAAAAATAAAAATATGTAACATGCTGCTAAAGCATTGCTGAGAGAGAAATTTATAATACTAAACACATTTGAAATGAAGAAATGTCTCAAGTCAGTAGTTGAAGTTTCTACATCAAGGATCTAGAAAAAGAAGGACAAAACAATCCCAAAGCAAGCAGAAAGAAGGAAATAATTAAGAGCTGAAGTCAGTGGAATTAAAATAAGAAAACTATAGAGAAATTTAAATGAAATAAAAATTTGGTTCTTTGGAAAAAATCAATAAACAAAAATGACAAACCTCTATCAAGACTGGTAAAAACAAAAACAGGTAAGATATAAATCACAAATATAAGTAATAAAATATGGGATATCACTATAGATTCTGTAGTCATTGAACATTTTTTAAGAAGACAGAGATCCCATGTACACTTTAGACAATCTCACTCCCATGGTAACATTTTGTAAAACTATAGTATAATATCACAACCAGGACACTAACATTGATACAATCCACCTATATACTTATATTTCTCCATTTTTACTTGTACTTGTGTGTATGTATATGCATTTAATTCTATACAGTTTTCAATGAAAATTATTGGGGACCCCAAATACTTTTGCTCTGTGGTTATTTCAATCTACATTTAATGTATAAGCAAACAAAACAAAAAAGGTAAACACAAAAATACTCAAGCACACATTCCATTAATTACCAGAGCAATGACATCATTATCTATCATGTAGCTTCTAGAACACTTCATTGTACACTCATGAAAGGGTGAGACTGAAAAATAACATCTTATTATTATTATGAATATAATTTTGATCTTTTAGCCTAACAAAATGGTCTAGGGACAACAAACTCATCCTGGTTTTCCTGGGACTTTTCTGGTTTAAGCACTGAATGTCCTAGCAAACCAGTATTTTTTATTTGGTTTTGAAATGGAAAGTCCCATTTATTTTTCTTACTTGGTTTTGAAATGGAAAGTCCCATATACAAGGGACCCCTCAGATCTGGGAAAACTGGATTGGTTGTTCTCCACACTCAAGGACCTTTGTGGATACCCAGACAACATTTTAAGAACGTCTATTCAAGGCCGTCCTTACACAGAAAAAATTCCCAGTTCAGAGCTATCACCTCACCATCACAAAGGATTTGAGTATCTTTACATAATTTGTTAAAACTTATCCTACCCCATGCCAATTGCTTGCTCAGCTTTCCTATATGGTTTCTTCTGCCTTCTCCTCTTCACCTTGGATTCCTCAAATAAGATGTCATTGAAAGTGCTTTGTGATTAATAAGTATCATCAGAATATGAGTGTGTACCATTACCTTTTGATGATTATCTTTTCAGGTCAAGTTAATGTGGTGCAAGTGACCATCCCAAACCGTGTCGTGAATGTGACTATTGGATATAATGTCACTCTCATCTGCACCTACACCAGCACTGTGGCCTCCAGGGACAATCTTTCTATCCAGTGGTCACTCTCCAATAAGAAGGAGTCACGTCCAATTACTGTAAGAACTTTATTCCTAAACTATTCCCCTTTGGTAGTTCTAGCATAAACTGTTGAAGTCAGTGTGTGAAGGAACAGGAAACCAGTAACAACAGTGGTAGAATATCAGATACAAAGAATTTGAAATTATCTGTTTAGGGAATACCATCATGTAAGTGGCTTGGCCTTTGTCCCCTCTTCATATTCAGTTATAGCTTGTTATCATAATTCAGTTTAAGTCGACATTGAGTATATCAGGTATTCTAGAATAGATAGGCATGGTCCTTCTCAGTGGTGAAATAAACAGTTCTGAAAGGGTTTTCTTCCACCTGCCAAAATCATCCTCACTGTTATTTCCAGAAGACTCTAGTTCAAATTCACGTCCTAATTGATCTGTAGATCTCTGTCAAACTTAATATCTGGGATCTGCCTGTCAAGTGAGCTAGCTCATCGCCAGACTGAGTCCTGGTAGAATGAGAATCCCAGATGGGTGGAAAGGGGCCAAGGTAGTGAAGAACTCTGGTAATCAAAGGCAGCATGATGCTAGAGAATAGGGGTGGTAGGTTAGAGTCTGGGGGAAGAGGTTGCCAGAAGGTGTACTATATGAAAATCAAATGAGGAGAATGATTCTACCAGCAAACTGCCTATTCCAAGGTTTTCTCCATCTGACCTAAAGGGTAATTGCGTGTTTAAATTAACCCAAGTATTAAAATTGTATACTTAAAGTGTGTGCATGTGTGTGTGGGTGTGTGTGCACGCACGCGCGTGTGCATTAATGTGCAAGCAGTTATGCCGACACATATTCCTTGAGAGAGAAGGTCCATAGCTTTCATCAGATTTTTAAAAATAATTTATAATTCAAAATAAGGAATTTAAAAAAGAAATAAACCAATGTGGTTTGGAATAACTAGATGTAGTTGAGTTGGGCCTTGAAGGAAAGGAAGGGTTTTGATTAGTAGAAATATAGAGGGGGCTGAGTGGGCTGCAGGAGGCCCAGGGCAGAGATGAAGAAGAAGCTATACCTGGACCAGAGTTGCTTCAGCCATTACTAGTCTTTTGGAGGTGCTGAATTATCTCTTCACCAGAGGTCCTGAATACTTGTTTAGCAAAAAATATCATTCAAGAGGAGATTTCATCAATTTCATCCTCTAGTCAAAGTTCAACAATTTTGCTCAGTGCTGGCTACCTTAGACATATATCTGAATAACTCTGTGCCTCGCTTAAAATATGATAGAACGGTAATAGTTGTCTACAGGTTGCATGAGGAATCAACTGACATAATGTATGTAAAATACTTGAAAATAATATAAATTCTGTAATTTTCACCCTTGTAAACACTGTTATCAACATCAGCAGCAGCAGCAACAGTAAGTCCACCAGTTTCCATCATCCAAAATGTCCTAACCTAAAACCTCACATGTTGCAGTCAACTGAGAGAGAAGGCTACTCTCTTAATTGTAGGTGACAATAATCACACAATGTTTTTTCCTTTATAAAATTTACATTCCTAACTAGCCTTTTCAGTATATTCTTTCTTTATAGGTATAAAGTCCTTCTCATTTTGCCAATAGGGACTGAATTTAGAGAGGCAATATATTTTGAAATGTCTTTTTTTTATGTTTGGTCCTCAAATAAAGATGTACTCAATTGTCTGGATGCCAGGCCATACCAGTCTGATTTTAAAAACACAAATTCTCCTGTATGCCTCTTCTGACACTAGAATTTACAAGGTCACCTCTTGGTTAAATTATATGGCTGGTGAGGAGCTTGGAGATGCAGGGTCAAAGGATCTTGTGACCAACAATGAGTTTTTTCTAGACCTAGAAATGCAGAGGAACAAGGTATAGGTATTGAACTGAGGGTGACTTGAGCTTAAGGACATCTCTTAGCGCAGTGGTTCTCAACCTTGGCTGCACACATTAGAAGCCTGGGAATCTTTTTAAAATCCTGATTTCTGGGCCTCATCCTCCGGAAATTCTGTTTCTTTGTTATGGGGTGGGGCCACAACATTAGTAACAAAGAAACAGAATTTCCGGAGGATGAGGCGCAGAAATCAAGATTTTAAAAAGATTCCCAGGTGATTCTAATGTGCCGCCAAGGTTGAGAACCACTGTCTTAGAGCAACTTTAGAAATAAAATCTATTCAAATAAGTATTTATAAGTAGCGTATTTACTTGCTGTTTACCTCAGTCTTCAAAATGTCTGGTACAGGCAGAGCAAGTAATTTAAATAATCTACTCTTTTAGGATGTCCAAATCAAAGGAATTCTTCTGCACTGAACCACTTGATCAATGAGAATATGCTGCTTGATCATAAAACATTTTAAGTATTTCTTGAAGAGCATGAGACCTGTCCTATTTTTGTGCCTTGGCCACATGGAAGACAGGGTAGAGTAGGGCCAGCTCTTGGCTTGGAGACAGTGAAAATCACCCCCTAAAAGGCAGGTTTTCTTTTCCGCCTCATCGCCCCAGCAAGAACCCCATTATAAATATTCTTAGGTTTCTACATCTAGAGAACTTGAGTTCTTCCCTATTTTCCTCCATACACTGCAGGCATATTCTTCTCTCTGCTTTTCCAGATGAGTAGTTTTGGAACCCCAATGGAAACCTCCTAATGGATGTCAGTTCTACTCATTGTTCTACTTACTTGCTGGCTGGATGACCTTAGACAAGTCACTGGACCTTTCAGAGGTTCAGTTTTCCTATCTGTAAAATGAGGTTACTTACCTACCTCATAGGTTTACTGTGAAGATTTTTTTTTAATGCTTAAGTTTTTATTAAATTTATTGGTGTGACATTGGTTAATAAGATCATAGTTTTCAGGTGTAGATTTCTATGATACAAGATCCGTATTTTGCACTGTGTGCCCATCACCCAAAGTCAAATCATTTTCCATCACTATATATTAGGTGCCCTTAACCCCCACACCTCTACCCCCTTCCCTCTGGCAACCACCACACTGCTGTTTATGTCCACCATTTTCAGTTTTATATCCAATATATGAGTGAAATAATATGGTTCTTAGCTTTTTCTGACTTATTTCACTTAGTCTATTCATGTTGTAGCAAATGGCAGTATTTAGTCTTTTCTTATAGCTGAGTAGTACTCCATTGTGCTTATGTACCACATCTTCTTTAGCCAATCTTCTATCGCAGGACACTGGTTGTCTCCATGTCCTGGCCATTGTGAATAATGCTGCAAGATTTAATGAGATAATGTTTGTGAAGCGCTAGGAAGCTTTCCATATAGTAACCATTAAGTGAATGTAAATTATTATCAACAACACTACTCACAAAATGGTGATTTTGCAAAATCCCTATTCCATCCATATCCCTGGGTCATGGGCACTAGAAAACGCAGCCCAACAAGATACACTTAGTATAGCTGGACAGCTGGGGTAGAACTCTTGGGGGTATCCTGGCCCAGAATTGGTTTCCAGTCTTGCTGTCTTCCAGGTGCCTGTGGCTAAAGAGAGGGGTTAGGCCCCTTCTCTGCCTGCTCCTTATCCTTGAACAGAGACCTACTCAACAAAGAGGTTGCAGATATCTTCCTCTGAGATGTATTTTTCCAAAATAAAATTTGGTTTCTATTTCAATGTTTCCTCTTTGAGCACTTCCATGCATTCAGAATTCTGTAGAGCATGTTGTATGTTAATATAGGACTGGCTGGTAGGACTTTTGGGGGTGATAAAAGGAGACTGATATGCTATTAGACAATTCTGTGATTTATGGGAGTAAGATGTTGCCAGACTGACCACTGAGTGATTCAATTCAACTCCTGGGTTGATGTGCCTATATACCATTCGGCTCTCAGATCCACCCATTTCTGCTCAAACACAGCACAGCCCGTGCCTCAATACTGAGGGTATGGAGGAAAAGGCAGTCAGTCAGTGTCTAAAAATGGCGCATGCAAGAGACGCTCGGGGAAGATGTAGCTGGACCTCTCAGGTAAGAATACCTATTGGTGTACTACTGGACCCCTTCATTGTTTGGAGTCTCCAAAGCAATCGTACTGACTTTCAGGAGTGAGAAGGGAGGGTCTGAGTTTGGTAACAATCCAGATCAGCACAAACCCCTCGACAAAACTGAGACAGCCTTGAGTTTGCCTCTCATACCAATGCCTGGAGTTCTTTTCAGCCTCCTCCAAAATGTCAGGGCCTTATTGCTGCCCTATTGAGCAGGGCAGTGGCCAACTCTTGCCAAAGGCTCATATTCTCCCACCACCAACATCATTGTGTTTGAAAGGCCTAGTGTTTCTCAATACCCAGGGGAGGATGTTATCTCTTACTATCTCCTCTAAGGGGTTCCTTTGCTGAATAGGGTCTACAGAAGTATCCCACAAGTCTTCTGACCAGGGAGGCCAGGATATTCATTAGTATGGCCCTCCTCTTAGAAAATCCCTCTTCTTGGAAGACATGGACAGCTTCAGTTGATCACTTCCTCAGTAGGAACTCTTACCCGAAGACTCTAGGTCCTGGGACAGGCAGACTAACATGGAAGTTTCAGGTGGTCTGATGCCCCTCTAATCACAACAGTAGCCTCCTCTTCCATCCATCCAGTCACTGGTAAATTTCAGAGACCTCAACTGCCTATGAACAGAACAGGTTTTGATCCTACTTAGCATGGTTCTCTCAGATAGTACTTACTTTTCTAAAATATCCATAGTGGAAGAAACCCTTTGCCATCCTCATCTCCCCAACACACATAGAGTGTTGACAATTTCTTTCCAGAACCTAGTATCTTCATATTCTCTGGCTGCTAGATTCTCCCTACCTACCCTGTCCTCTACAGATAGGATTATATAAAATGTTTTCCAAATGTTGGCAGAGTAGAGGTGTCCCACCTCCTCGGAGACATTTTAAAATGAGGGGGAAGGATGTTGGTTTAATTGTTATAAATGAGAGCCAATACTGGCATTTGGTGGTTGGTGGCCAGAGATGCTAAATGTCTTGCAATACATAGAATAGACTCACATGAAAGAGTTGTCTGTCCAAAATGCCAGTGTAACACTCATTGAGAAGCGTTTTAAGTTCTTCCCTTCCCACTACCCTCTCCCATCAAAGGTTACCTATTCTGTGTCCCATTCCTTCAGGTGTCTATTCTTGCTAAGTTTGATAAATTAATCGAATGTTAAGGTGTTATGGACTGGTAGCAATTTATTTTGCTATTTTCCAAAGAAAATAATTTAAGCAGTCTCCACTCCCCAAAAGCATTTAAATACTAGGTATTTCAGGTAAATTGCAGGCTGGGAAGGGAAAGGTGTGGGAAAGAAAGTCTTCCTTTTGGTGTTTCATTTCTTCTATGTGCAATCCCAGTTCCCCTAGTACAGTCCAGAGAAAATTATGGGCTTTAGACCATTGCTATCCAATAGTCACCCCCCCCTTCTGTGGCTCACCCCTTTATGAACAGTGCAGGAAACCAAGAGGCTGGAAGGGAATGGATTGATGGTTTGCTGTGGACTTCTAATGCTTCCACATTTCCAAAAGGAATCCACAAAATCAGCTCTGGAGGCTAAACACATTTATTAACTGCAACTTAGACTCAAACAGAAAGTAGACTGAATTCTTTCAACCCTCTTGTTTATATTCCGACCCCTAGTTAGAGAGCAGCATCACAAAGCTGAGAAAAGAATCTTTTTTTTTTTGGACAAATCTGGCTCCTAGCTGCGTGGCTTCATGTGAATAGGAACTTGGCATAGCAGAAGGGGAAAGGTAGTTATTGCAGCTGGCAGACGTTGAAGGCAATGTGTGGTGAACCTACTGAGCTTGGGAAAAAGCATCATGCCAATAAATAGCGTCAATTGGCAGAAGAAGAGTCAGGTTGGAGTAGGAGATGGAATGGCCCCAAAAGGAGAAGGTTGCCTGTAAATCATCTTCCTGGCCTAAGTCAGAACTATAAGTTCCATTTCAATATGTTCAGTGAGAATTGGGAGGTCTGAATTCTATGTCTGACTATAAATTGTGTGACCTTGGGAAAATTACTTCCTTGAGGGGTTTCAATGTCCTTTTCTGTAATATAGGAGAATGAATCAGAGGTTGCAAACTGGAGGACTTGGGGCCTGATTTGGCCATTGGATGCATATTGGATGGCCAGCCCAGTATTTTGTTTGTTTCCACACTTTGAAAGCATTGTTTGTATTGGATCCCCACTTCACCACAGGCCCCACTATTCTCTCTGATCTTACCACCATCCACCAGCCCCTCCCAGACATTTACCATATTTCTTATATCCATCTGGCTCCTTACAGTTCCTCAACCTTAGAAGCCATGATTAAGTGATCTCTCAGGGGTCATATAAATATGACCAAACAAATATGCTATTATGATTCCACATTCAGCCTCTAGCATCACCAATGGACAGGCAGAGAGGACCCTGGGGGGAAGTAGGAAAGTCTGCCATAAACACAACCACAAAGGGCAAGTGGGCATAAAATTAACAAGCACCACTTAAGGAGCCACCCCTCCCCACCAAGGATGTAGCTTATGGAACATCCATGGCTTTTCCTGGACCTCAATTGCTTTGATCTCTAAATTGACCATATATTTTCTTTGAAAAGTGTATAAGCCTCACAGGGTCATGGCCAGGCCTTGATCATTGTTCAGCTTTGATTTGTATAAGAATTATTCTTTTGTGGAAAATGGTATCAAGTTTCAGTCCGTCCTGCATGATTAGATAAGCAGGTTTAGGAAAACATTTTATTTTAGTTTTCTTTATAAGGACAGTGTGACAGTGTGGACTTCGCCTAACAGAAAGTCCATCTATCTATGTGTCTGGCCACTTGCTAGCCCTGGGCCTTTTTTCACAGCATCCCGAGACCAAGTCCTTTCCCTTTTAGGTCTCCATTATTCTCTCTACTTACCCCATCCTGTCCATGACACCCTTTAGTATTATTTGTGAGAGGGCAAAAATATAAGCTACAGTGTGAGGAGCTGGGGTAGAAGGGTACCCTTTTCATAGGGAAGTTACAAGTTCAGAGCCTCATGATTATTTGATCATTTCACATTGACTCATGCCCAACTGTGAGAATTTTACAGTGACTTACTTTCGTGTCCTAGTCTTGGCATAAAACACACTCTCTTCACCCCTTGATCTCTGCAGAAACAAAGCTCTTTAACCTAGATCCTCTGAGACTTACTGTGGGTCACAGGCAAAACTGATGTCATATCTCATTGTGGTGTCTTCAAACCTCAATGTAAAACAGGCTGTCCTACCCCCAGTCTTCCTGGGAGCAGGGGAATAGGCCAGATGTTGAAGTTGTAACAGGCTTCCTTGATGGACTGTAGGCTGTGTCCCAGGTAAGAATCCACAGGATCTCAAATTGTTAATTGGAAAGTAAATAAGCCCAATGCTGGCTAGTGAAATGAAAAGCTAGATATTTTGGGTGTCAACACAAATGAAGGGAATAGACATTTGAGGAGTTGAACTTCCTCTTGGCCCACTTGAATACCTTAACACTGGCTTTCTGGTTTGTCAGTAAAACAGAACTCCTCTGAGGCAAAAGTTAGTAATTTCAGTAGGTATGAATGGATGAATTGAATTATAAGTGACTCATTTAGGGCAGGAAAAGAAAGCTAGGTGATATTAGAGAACCAGAGGAGAGAGACAAGTTGTTATCTTTTTAAATATGCTTTTTCCTTTGAATTTTTCCTCAAAAGCTACATTTCTGCCTTACTTTAAAAATATATTGGCTTTCTGCTTGAGGGACAGTGCTTTTGAATTTATCTAGACAAAATCTTTCAGCTTGCTGATCACCTTCCCGCTCTCATTAGCCTATTAAGGTAGGAACATTGCACAAGAAATTAGAAAAACTGGGTTCTAGAACTGTCCAAACTATAAACTTCTCTGTGCTTCAGTTTCTACTATAAAGCGAGGAGAGTGAATTAAATAAATCATAAAGCTCTTCAAGTAGATTTTATGAAAATATTAATTAGTTCCACTGGACTAGGACAGTAACCATCTATTGAATAATATATATTTCAATTACACACATTTGTATGAAACTAACAAAGAATGTACATAGACTGTGTGTATTATGAAAGCCAAGGGATCAGTGATTCCAAAGTTTCAGTCAGTCGTATCTTGTCTTTATGATTTTTGTCATATTTGGGTGCACAAGCAGTATTATTTAATGTTTTCTATACTAACTTGGTTTCTTAAAATATTAAAAATATCTGTCTTAGATTCAGCCCTAAGCAATAATATTCATGAACTCACAGATTTAGTGTGCTATATATGTCCCTTTCTAATAAATTTTCATTTATATACTATCTAAAATCAACTTATGTGCCTATACTTGGGGAATACATATCACACTTAGGAGAATCTTGCTCTGGTTCCTCATTCAGATGTGGAAACTAAAGGTTGGGAAGATTAAATAATTTTGTTACTTATCACAAAGGAGGTTTCCATGTAGACATGACCAGAGACCACCTCCCCTGACATTGTCACAGTTAGTCAGAAGCAGAGATGTAGCTAAAATCCAGGCCTCTTTCCACCTCATCATGCTGCTCCACAGTTGCCATTATGGTCTAAATATCCATGTTCTTAAATAAAGATGGGACTAGAATCCAGATCTTTCTTAAGTATTCTAAATTATAATAATAAAAATCCTGTGGCTTTAGATGAGTTATTTAATTTCTCTGGATTTGATTGTCCTTATTGAAATGATAATTCCAGTTCTACTTCCTGACACATGGGGAGAAAGGTAGTAGCTCCATTGACTAAGTACTTTCCAGACCCTTTTCTGGGTTATATTGTTCCACCCCCATACCACCATTATGAGGAAATGGGACCAGATGATTTCTCAGAAGCCTTTCTCCTCTGAAATGTTATTCTAACATGGTGAACCCAAGTTTGTTTATCCAAAGGAGTGTGTGTGTTTGAAAGGAGCATGAATATTCTAACTTTCAGGGAAACCAGATATTCCAGATAGTCCCACTGAGTAATATAAACTCAATTTTTAAAAACCTTATAAAGTGTGTGTGTATATGAGAGGGGTGTGTGTGTATATGTGAGGGGTGTGTGTGCTGGTTTTGGATTTCCCCTGATGCATTTGTGTCCTATAAAATGAGTTTCATCCAAGTAGACTCATCAGATGAGTATCTTGATCTCTTAAGCTTAAGAGTTGAATCCCATTAGCTCCAGCTGACTACTGTATGTAAGACTATCAAAGCTTGCTGCTATGATGATATCACAAAGCTGCTTTGAGCACAAATGAAGTAATGGCTTTTGCAAAGCTGTGAGGAAGCTGACATATTCCACTGAGTTGAAAAACCTTTGCCACAGGGACCTGTTCCCTGATGGGGGTAAAATGCTGCTGTATATCAAAGAAGATAACTTTGGATAGAAGGAGCTCCCAGGTAGTTTATCCTAGCCCTGGACATTCTTCAGTTCTCATTTTTCTCATTTTTCTGTCCTAGGTTTACTATTATGAAGGTGGACAAGCTGCATCCATCGGGCAATTTAAAGATCGAATTGTTGCGTCCAAGGAGCCAGATAATGCATCCATCACTATTTTGCATATGCAACCAGAAGATAGTGGCATCTACACCTGCGATGTTAACAACCCCCCAGATTTTAGTGGCAGCAATCAAGGCGTTCTCACAGTCAATGTGTTAGGTATGGACAAATTTTTATGGGTTTTCTTGGAGAAACTTAGGACTTCAATAAGCCGGGGCATGGATTATAGTGCCAATTAAGTCCCAAGGAGAAATGTCCTCCCTGCTCCTTTGATTATCAGGGAACTAGAGACACATCTCCTAACCCAACCTGTATAGAAACAGTGAGAAATCACTCATAAAACATGTTGAAACAATTGCCAAACCAAAAGGGCTGCCAAAATGACAGACAACAGTAGATGATCCAACCTCCAAGGATTCCTATTTCTGAAGGACAAAATGAGGACAGATGGGACAATGCATAGTCCCACTAAATGATCATTGGCAGCTCTTTAATTAGGGACCTTCAATTATAGCCAGTCCTACCTGGGGGAGACAGCTGCCAATTTATGATCTCTCCTAAGCTAGCCACAATTTCCACCATTAAACCATCCTATATAATAAAAGCCTAATATGCAAACTGACCCAATGGCGGAATGACTGGCAGAACAACTGGTCGCTATGATGCACACTGACCACCAGGAGGCAGATGCTCAATGCAGGAGATGCCCCCAGCCCACAGGCCCCAGGCTGGCCAAGGGAGGTGTCAGTGGGGGCCCCCCGATAACCCCACCAGTGGCCCCACAGATTGGCCCTGATCGCTAACCCAGGCCTAGGGACCCTACCTGTGCACCAATTTCATGCACCAGGCCTCTAGTTATCTTATCTAATAAAATAGTAATATGCAAATTAACTGTCACTTTGTGACAAAGATGGTGGCACCAGCCAGAGCCACGGAGCCGGCAGACACACAAGCCCGCAGGGGGTCCGGACCCCAGCCCCAGCCCCGTGGAGGCTGCGGCGCTGGGCTGCTGGGGCTGGAGCCAGTGGACACACCCTGCATCCCTAGTTCCCCTCCTCTCATTTCCAGGAAATAAAATGTCCACTGTGCGTCCACCTTTTGGCACAGCCCCTGCCTGTTGCAGGTGCCCCCTCCCCCAGTAGGCAGCACTGTGCAGCTCCTGGGCACCTGTCTTCCCATACCTTAAATGGACAAATGCATGCAGGCAAAGTCAGGAATTCAGGCCCCTGACGTCAGCTTCCAGATCTCAGGGTACCGCATGGGAGACTGAGGGGAGAGGGTGGGGATGGTGGGAAGGAAGGACGGGGAAAGGCACCAACCAGCAGTTGCTCCAACCCTGCCAAAGTTTCACTTTTTGTCTGTGGGTTCACTCCCCGGCACTGCATGAGCTTTCCTGGGATAAGTAGCTTTAGCAAGCAGGAGGACAGCTCGGTGCTGCAAGGTAAGGGCTGGTTGCATGGTCCAGGGCATGGGACATGCTGTGAGGCACAGGGCCGGGCCTATATGGGGCTGGGGACAATGGGAGGGGGAGTGCCTGGGCACCTCCTCCTACACCTTAGCCTTCACCTCCAGCTGCTGCCGCCACCACTGCTGCCCCAGCTGCCTCCTCCCAGAGGTATTGTTGCAAATCCTCCTTCCTTCCTTCCCCCCCACCCTCCACCTGTAGGTGACTCGGGAACCTCCAGACTCCCCAGCCATGAGCATCTCTGGGATGGCAGCAGCATGGACGCAGGGTGTAGTGTGTGTGCCCTGCCTGGGCGGAAGGGCCTGTGGTACAGAAGTGCCAGCTGCAGTGCAATCATGGGGTACACGCCATTGAAGGGAGACTGAGTTTTTCAGACTGAGTTTTCAGGGCTTTAACCCCACCAAGTCTGGGTGGGGTTAAAGCCCTTCCCTGTGTGACCCCAACCTGGGCCTTTCTGGGTGCCCAGGGGGTGGGGCCACACCCAGCTGCTTAGAGCTTTCACGGGATCCCAGTTGTCATTGTGAAAGGGGCCTAGGAATCCAGTTATCCAAGCCCCTATTTTACAGTTGGGGCAACTCACGTCCAGAGAGAAGGAGGGCCTCCCCAGAAGTCAGTCACTAAAGGCCAAACTGTAATGAAAATAAATGGCTCCCAGTTCCTAATTTCTGTTCTCCAGCATTTCTCCAGCGCCCATAGGCTGGCAAGGGAGGGGCAGTTGGGGGCAATCAGGCTGGCAGTTGGGGGCGATCAGGCTGGCAGGCAGAGTGGTTAGGGGTGATCAGGCAGGCAGGCAGGTGAGCAGTTAGGAGCCAGCAGTCCCAAATTGCAAGAGGGATGTCTAACTGCTGGTGCGGGATCGGACCTAAATCAGCAGTCTGACATCCCCCGAGGGGCCAGATTGGAGAGGGTGCAGGCCAGGCTGAGGGATGCCCTGCCCCCATGCACGAATTTCATGCACCAGGCCACTAGTTTTAAATAAAGGCAGGAGGTTCCCTTTTAAAATATGTTAACACTATTTGGATTGTTTTTCTAGATTCCACATATAAGTGAAATCATTTGGTATTTGACTCTCTCTGTCTGACTTATTCCACTTTGCATAGGTCAGTGGTTCTCAACCTTCTGGCCTTTTAAATACAGTTCCTCATGTTGTGACCCAACCATAAAATTATTTTCGTTGCTACTTCATAACTGTAAGGTTGCTACTGTTATGAATCATAAATGTAAATATAAATATCTGTAAATGTAAATATCTGATATGCAGGATGGTCTTGGGTGACCCCTGTGAAAGGGTTGTTCGACCGCCAAAGGGGTCGCAACCCACAGGTTGAGAACCACTGCTCTAGGTCCATCCATGTTGTTGCAAATGGCAAGATTTCATTCTTTTTTATTGCTGAGTAATATTCCACTGTGTATATAAATACCACATCTTCTTTAATTCATCTATTGATGGACCAAAACGAGAATAGACCCATAGGTACAGAGAAACTCTTGTTTTCCAGAAAGGAGGGTGTGTATGTGAAAAAGGTGAATGGGGAATAAGAGGTACAAAATTCCAGTTATAAAATGAAGAAACTATGGATATGTAGTGTACAGCACAGAGAATATAGTCAATAATCCTATATAATAAAACCATAATATGCAAATCAACCAAAGAGTGGAATGACTGGCAGACTACAGATTGCTGTGACCCATACTGTCCACCAGGGGGCAGACACTCAATGCAGGAGCTGCCCCTGGTCAGGAGGTGACCTGTGGCAGCGATTGGGGAACAGGGACAGAAAGTGGGCGGCGCCAGGCTGCCAGTCAAGGCGGGTGCCAGTAGGGGCTCCCCGATCGCCCCACCTGCCTGTTGCCCCACAGATCAGCCCTAACCACCAGCCAGGCCTAGGGACCCTACCCTATATATGTACTTCTTTTTATAATCAGGGCAAAAAAATGTAGCTGCCCATACAACAGCAAGATGCCTTTCACCTGTATTAAAAGTTTGGTCACTGGTGCATGCAGCATCCCGGATTGTGAGAGGGATGTCCGACTGCTGGTTTAGGTCCGATCTGTGCAGAAATCCCCCTAGGGCACAGGCCAGGCTGAGGGCCCCTCCTCCCCCCATGTATGAATTTCATGCACCAGGCCTCTAGTATTGTAATAACTTGGCATGGTGACAGTTGGTTACAACACAAAGTGTAGTGATCACATCATAAGGTATATACATATCAAATCATTTTTATATACCTGAAACTAATATACTATTGTATGCTAACTATACTTTAACAAAAAATTTAAATGTTAACACCATTTAGAAAAAGAGCCACATGTTAAGCCAGAGTTGAGAATGACTTTATTTATATATACAAATATGCATTATGTGACACTGGACAAGTCATATCCATTCTTCAAATGAATTTGGAGTGATTCATTTATGCAGTATTTATTGAGTGCTTGCTTTGTGCTAGGAGCAATAAGGTTTACAGCATTGGAGGCATGGTTATTGCTTTTGGGAAATTCATAACTTTAGAGATTTCTAGGGCTCCTTTCAACCTCTGTTTGAGAAGACAATGGGAGTTTTGCTCCTGTCTTTCAGCCTAGCAGGTCTTGTGTGCATACCTTCAAATGTACTGAGGGGAGGGATGAAAGGGCTGTAAACCCTGACCAACTAACAATTTTAACTAAGGGCTTTCCCACTTCTAAGTAACCCCAATTAGAGCTGATCGAGTTATTGTTCTTTTCAAGCTGAGTACATCCATTACAGGAAAGGAAGAGATCAAACCAGTGACTTGATAATTGAGTAGCTTGAAAAAGCAGCAATCAATAACAAGGTGAACACCTAGGGTAAATGTCCAGAGTTGTCTGAGCTTGCCATTCAAGTGATGCTAGAAATGCACCATGTACTTACTGTGAGGTTTGCTACTGCATCTACACACCTGGTAACCAAGCACTGATTTTTAAGAGTGGTGTACCTCAATCCTGTTTTTATTTTGCTGAGCCCTGTTCTAGGCATTGGGGTACAAGAAAAGACAAGATAAGTATACACAATCCCTTTCCTGGTAAAGTTGATGCTCTAGTTTGGAAGATTAGTCATTTACATGGAAACGAAATGGTCTGATATAGATGATAGCACCTCAGGCTCTGAGTCAGAAGACCTAGGTTCTAGCTCTTACTTGGCTACTCTGTGGCATCAAGCAGGTCAGTCCACCTTGCTCTGGACATTTTGATATGGAGTTATGACTCCTACCCTGTCTTTACAAGTTTACTATTAGGATTAAATTATATACTGTCCATGTTCAATGAATTTGATGGATTAGTCCTCTAATGGGTTTCTGTTGCTCCCTGGCTCTGGCTTGCCCTTCTGACCAGGAATAGACGAAGAAGACAAACTTTTTTATCACTGATCTTGGAAATAGTCCTGAGATAGTTATGCAGAAAGGTTAATATTCTTAAATTTAAAGTTCAGAGAATCCCTAATCAACTTCCATAAGAAGCTGGGGGTCATTTTCTCTCCGAGTTGTTCTTTCCCATGAGTTTTTGGGTTAGTTGTTCCTGCAATGAGTGTGTCATGACTTTTCCTTAAGCATCTGGGATCCAGAAAACATAAGAGGCAAAGGGTCTGTGGATTTCTTTGTTTATTTGGGAACTCTCAAAAATTCTATTTTTATTAATTGGGTTCAAAACAAAAGCATTCTACAAGTTAATGCTTTTGAAAATTTTGAAATTGGTAATTTTTTCTAAAAATTGAAGCAGCTCTTTACAGTTCCCAAATTCCATTGTATATGACTGAGGGGCGGGGCATGGTGGGGGCAGTCCAATGGTGGAAAGAAGTGCCAATATTTTCTTAAAGATCAATCTTCCTAGCAATGCATCTTTTAGAGTCATTTTACTACCCAGTGATGGACATTGATTGATCCCATGCATTTACTTGTTCATGCATAAATTCATTCAATAAACCCTAAGCACATGTCCAGTTACTGTGCTAGGCAATGGTGATGGAAAGATGTAAAAGATAGGGTCTGAGCCCTCCAAAAGCTCAGAATCTAGTGAGGGAGGCAGATATATAACTTAAAAACAGTGAAGGTAGGAGAGGAGATCTGGGAGACAGAGGGGAAAGGACTAAAAGCTGTCCGGGGAAATGAAGAAGGTTTCCTGGAGAAGGTGACTTTTGGACTGAATATTGAAGGATGTGTAAGAGTGTGTAAGGTAGAAAAGGGGCTGAGGTAGCAGGACACAGTTTAGGTGAAGAAAACAGCAATGAGCAAAGGCCCAGGTGGTTTGGACACCATTCATTTAGGAGAACTCCATTAGGTATGATAGCCTTGAAAAATGAATCGCTGAAAAATATCCAGCGGAAGTTTGAATAATTGTTTTGTATGCGTTTAGAATGAGAATCATCTTCCTTATGCAATTTGGCATATAAAAGAAAATGATATATTTAGAGAAGGTTTGAGACATTGCTGAAGCCTTTTCTTTTGTTTTCTGAGGTGAGCCTCTTCCTCCCACCCCAATTCTGTTGAAAGCAATAAAGTTAAATGGTAGGTCAATGGCTTTGGCAGTAAATTGTGGGCTTTAATTGATGAAGTGACAATTCAATAGTGATGCAGTAGTTTTAGAAAATATATAGGTTTTGGACATGGTTCAAAATGATTCACTAAGTGTTTTATTAATAAAAAATTAAAGGAGAACATGTGTCCAGCAAAATATAAATACAATGCCTATCTAGATTTGATTCTGGACTCAAGAAATGAATAAAAGTCATTGAGGTTTTTGTCCATCATTTAATGCAAGTCCTGGTACCTGACTGTGATAAAATACCCCATTTAATTTTCTTTTCAAATTGCTGTATTCTGCTGTAAAGGCTATAAAATCTCCATGTTAAAAAAATTCAGTATCTAAATCTAATGATAGTTGCAATGGACTTCTGGTTAAATAGTCTTGTTTAGGGTAGGCATAGCCACTGAATTGTCCCCATCTGAGAAAATCAGTGGAAAGGAAGAGAGAGTGGAGAGGTAAAGAGAAAAAAAATACTTCTCTTAGTTAAAAAGACAACTGTTTAAAGATAGGGATGGTGAAATGTTTCAAAGGGCTACAAGTATATCTGTTTACTTGCTCATGTGTACAGTAGGTTAGAATCTAAGATTGGAAGATTAACTTCAGTAGCAAGCTATAAAGTGCAGCTGCGGGAATTAGTTCTGCTCGTGGCCAACAGAATTCTGTGTGCAAGGCTCTATAAACATGGCTTCATTAATATAAATACAATATATTTGGATTAGCCGGAGCTCAGATAATCACCTGTTCACATTTTGCAGATGAGTCAACTAAGATTTGGCATGTTAGGTTACTTGCCTAAACACATCTAGGGTAAAGTTGCAGAGCCAGTATTCTGTGTCGATCCAGAGCTCTGTTCTTAACTGCTACCTATCAAGCAAGAGCAGAAATCTGGGAGGTCTGGAGTATTGAGGTCTGACTAGCCTAAGTTAGAGAACCTATGTCTTTGGAGGACTTCAAATCCAACTTAAGATAAGGAAGATGAGTTGGAAAGTTTCCACATTCAGGCACTTAACTTTCTGTCAGACTAAGGTTAGAAAAAGCTGTGAGCTGTAAGATGAGTGAGGAGATTCAGATTTTCAATTTCCCACAGGACTTCTCCATTGAGATGTTTTATAAGCAGCTAAATTTTAGTATGTCCCAAACTGACCTCAATCTCACCCCTCCCTCCTTCCCACTCTTTGCCTGGAAACTTGTGCCTCCTCCTGTATTCTTTATCTCAGGGGATGATGGCAAGCTCATGTACCCAGATGTTCAAATCAGAAATCTGGGAGACATCACTGACCCCACTTTCTTCCTCATGCCCCATATCCACTTGGTCACCAAATCCTGTTCACTTGTAGTACCTCTTGAATTTGTCTCCTCCTCTCCCTTGGTTCAGGCACCCAAGAGTAAGAGTGATTCAGGTAAAATTTTAAAATGACCATCATCCCTCCCCTACTTAAATTCCTCCTGTGGTCCTCCTGCTCTTAGTACAAAATACATGAAATACAAAGCCCTCTTTCACTACTCTCCCCACCCCACTTCAGAACTGTGTCAGAAGGCCCTCAAGTACAGTGGTGCCTTGACGTACGAGTGTCCCGACTAACGAGTTTTTTGAGACACCAGCTGTCTCTCGGTTGACTTTTTTTAAAAAATATATTTTATTGATTTTTCACAGAGAGGAAGGGAGAGAGACAGAGAGTCAGAAACATCGATCAGCCGCCTCCTGCACATTTCCCAGTGGGGACGTGCCAGCAACCAACGTACATGCCCTTGACCGGGGTCGAACCTGGGACCGTTCAGTCCACAAGCCGACCGAACCGCTTGTGGAGTGAAAAATGAATAAAGATTTCAACACTCTGTAGCACCCCCCCCGCCCCAAAATGGGCTTCCCCTACCAATGAGTGACACAGGCAAATTCAAACCCTCCAACCATTTGTGCACCCCGGAAAAATAAGTTCCAAAAGTAACTCATAAGTAAAACGAAAAATAAAAATATGGCATTAATATAATAATTTTTAAAAGAAAAATAATAGGTTATCTCAAAGTATTTAAGGGTTATATTTTCCTTTGAAACTGTGCTTCAAGAGTATAAACTATACTCCTAGTTGTTCAGTGTTTGCTTACATTTGGTTGTTTTAATAAAGCCATATTTTTACACACTAAGTGGAAATTCCTGGTTATAGATCTGGGAAAGAGGCAGAGGAAGACTTGCTATTACAATGTTAATGGCCTGGTGACTGAAAGGTTCTTGCATCTGAGGTGCTCTACTCCCACCTGGTGGTACAAATAGAAAACTGTCAAAATAAGTTTTAAAGATTAAAAAAAAAGCAGCTGACATTTCACAAAATGAAAATGAGGAAGTGACTGTAATTGTTATAGACTGTTATTCATTCAATAGGATTTTTACTCTTTGTCATTATTTTACAGTCAAACCTTCTAAGCCCTTTTGCAGCATTCAAGGAATAGCAGAAACTGGCCGACCAATCTCTCTTTCTTGCCATTCGGTGCTTGGAACGCCTTCCCCTGTGTACCACTGGTATAAACTTGAAGGAAAAGATATCATCCCCGTGAAAGAAAGCTTCAGTAAGTATATACCTCAGAAGCCCCTGGCAAGGTATGGTGTGTGTGGTAGCTGATAGCTTGTGTGTGTGGCTGACTGTTCATCTTCCAGATCAATCTTCTATTTTTCTGGGAGGGGGGTGTGAAAAGAGATGATTGTGATCTGGTCTTATCCACAACTTCTAGAAGCCAAACCTGGTTTTGGCTCAGAGGTGGTGGAATGGGGCTACCTTTGGAATAGTCTTAAGGGGTCTAGTTGGACCCTGCGCACCTCAAGAAAGGGAAACTAATGTGAGGGAGTGGGTTGGCATTGAATGATCTGCTACATTGCCATCTCTACCCACATAAGAGATTTCAAAAGTCTATTTCCTGGTTTTGACAGACCCAGCCATCGGGACTTTGGTTATTGGAAATCTGACCAATTTTGAACAAGGTCATTACAAGTGCACTGCAATCAACAACCTCGGCAATAGCTCCTGTGAAATCGATCTAACTATTTCACGTGAGTTGATCGTACAACAGTTTCTCCTTAAGTCAAGTATCCTGGGGCTGCCAATCAAGTAAATTAATTAGTCCTGGTTAGTCCTTCCTGTTTCTCTGGAGATTTGTTGCTTTAAAGGTTAATATGATGCATTATCATCCTAATACGTATCTATTGTTTACACAATACTTAATATGTGCCACACACTGCCCTAAAATGTTTATAAAAATAAATTTGTTTAACCTTCACAAAATCTCTAGAAAGTAGGAATTACTATTTAATAAATAAAACAACAGCCTCATTGATAGTACTAGGCTAAATTTTCTTTGTTGCGCTGTTGGTAAATCAAGGTGAAACTGTAGCAATCTATGTCAAACATGGAGCTCACAAACTTTCCAGTTCTTAACTAATTTGTCAAGATATGCCCCTGATAATAATAGTAATAAGAACACTCATATGTACAGTCACAGTAGCTAATATTTGTGGAGCATAAATTATGTGCTAGACACTCAGCCAGGTACTGTGAGCATTACTTCTCTCAGTCTTCCAAATACCCTATCTAGGAGGCAGGATATGTTACTCTCATTTTACTGAAAGAACTGGAGTTCATGTAGGTAAGTTATATGCCCAAGGTAATCCAGTTAGTAACTGGCAGTGTCTGGATGCCTCTAAACCTCAACCTTCCAGTTCAAAAGTGCTTAGTTACTAATCATAGATTTGAGGGCTTGGAATTTTCAAATTGGACCAGTCAATGGCAAGCCTCCATAAAGGATATCTTGCTATACCTCTCAAAGATCACTTAACACTTAGGATCATGTCATCTATTCCTTTTTTCTAACTTACTTTGAATATATGATTTTAATACATACAATATACAGGTGGCCAGTTTCATTGCTTTCCTATGAAGCTGAGCTTTCTTCCTTTTATTTGCCCTGATCCAAACATTTTTCCAAATCCAGGATACACCTTCATCCTTATATCACTTTCAGCTCTTTTTATTCAAAGTGAAGAAGCTTCATCTGTTTGATCTGTCCTTTCTGTGGTCCCATTCTACCCCCAGTCCTTTGATCCATTTCTGCTGTTTTTCTCTGGATCTTCCACAATCCCATTTTACCTTTCCAGAGGTACAGTCATACAGCAGATGTAGAGACTCCTAGGATTTATACTTGAACCTCTCTTCCTTTTGAATCCTCTTTCCAGTGATGTTGACACTTGGCTTCCTTCCTTCCTTCCTTCCTTCCTTCCTTCCTTCCTTCCTTCCTTCCTTCCTTCCTTCCTCCCCCCTCCCCTCCCTCCCTCCCTCCCTTCCTTCTTTCCTGCCTCCCTGCCTCTCGATTAATAAGGTATGTGTCTTACAATCAAGGACCTCACAGTTTAGCTAGAGCAGTGGTTCTCAACCTTGGTTGCACATTAGAATCACCTGGGAATCTTTTTTAAATCCTGATTTCTGGGCCTCATCCTCTGGAAATTCTGTTTCTTTGTTATGGGGTGAGGCCACAACACTAGTAACAAAGAAACAGAATTTCCGGAGGATGAGGCCCAGAAATCAGGATTTTAAAAAGATTCCCAGGTGATTCTAATGTGCAGCCAAGGTTGAGAACCACTGAGCTAGAGAGATGAACAGACATTAAAATTGTGTAAAATGCTATAATAAAGGTCTGCAAGGGTCTATTAGTATAGGACATTAAAGAAGAAATAATTAATTATGCTTATACAACCAGGGCCAGCTTTACCAATACAGTGCTATTTGAGCTGTATCTTGAAGGAACTTTCTTTATCTATAAAATAGGGATAAAGGTGAAAAGAGAGTGAAGGATGACAATAGAGCAGGAAAATAGTCCATGCTGAGGGAGGAGGATGGAGGATTCCAGCAGGATGTCTCTGAAGAAAATAAAACAACAACATAAGAAACCTATAGATTATTCTATGTGTTAGAATCTATTGAAAGGAGTTCAATAGTTTTACTGGAAATTTGGGGGATTAGCAATAATACATTTTTTAAAATCACCAAATGAGGCAATTATTAACCTCAGAAAAATTTAAAATGTATAAGAGAGAAACATACTAATACTATGTTATGCAGCTGTGGAAATATTTAGATAGTCATAATATTGCAAACTTGGATTTACCTACAACTTGTGCTATCCTATCTAATAAAAGAGGTAATATGCAAATGGACCATCACTCCAACACACAAGATGGCCGCCACATGATGGCTGGCAGGGGAGGGCAGTTGTGGGTGATCAGGCCAGTGAAGGGCAGTTGGGAGTGATGAGGCCTGAAAGAGAGGACAGTTAGGGGCAACCAGACCTGCAGGGGAGGGCAGTAGGGAGCGACCACGCCTGCAGGGGAGGGCAGTTGGGGGTGCCCAGGCAGCAAGGGAGCAGTTAGGCGTCGATCACGCTGGCAGGGGAGTGGTTAGGGGTGATCAGGCTGGCAGGGGAGTGGCTAGGGGGTGATCAGGCTTGCAGGGGAGTGGCTAGGGAGTGATCAGGCAGGCAGGCAGAGTGGTTAGGGGCAATCAGGCAGGCAGGCAGGTGAGCGGTTGGAAGCCAGCAGTCCTGGATTATGAGAGGGATGACTGACTGCCCACCAGGATCGGGCCTAAACGGCAGTCAGAAATCCTTCGAGGGGTCCCAGATTGGAGAGGGTGCAGGCTGGGATGAGGGACACACCCCCCACCATGCATGAATTTCATGCACCGGGCCTCTAGTATACTATATTGAAACAAA